CTGTCCTCTGACCTCTGTAGAATTACTGACCCTTTTTTTCCTTGGTGCAAGTCCCTACAACTAGATTTACTAACCCTATGCAAATTTGCGTAAATTCCCTGAACCTAACACTTCCTAGCACCCCGCTGAGATTTTCACAGGCCTTCAGCTCCATTGTTCTCCTGCTTTTGTTGTGCAAACACACCCTTCCCCAACCCCCAACCAGGAGAGATCCAGAAGGTCTTTCCTTCCAATCATTGTCAGACTCAAAGTACCTGCAGCCTACAATACACCTTGGTAGATTCTATGTGCAATATTTCTCATATGCAATATTAGTTATTGCCAATCTTTGTCACTACATTGCATTCCTGTTCATAAAGATATATACACAGTGTTGTGCATATACACAATATGCACGTGTCCATATTTATGTCTCCAGATTGTTTGTATAGTCCACTACTCTTGGTACAGTTTTTATTTTTGCTGCTTTTGTCTTGCACTGTCCACTTTTCTGCAATGACAATTTCCTGGTTGTGTCTTGTGTGCTTTTGCAGCATTTTTTTTTTTTTACAGGTGTTTTTCTTTTTGCAGCATTTTTCTTTTTGCAAGTGTTTTCTGAAGTTGCAATCCATTTGGCCTCTCAGGGCCACTGTAAATTTTTGCTATTTTTACATGAACAGGCAGAGGAGAGAACATGCAAAGCTGGAGAGATCACACATGTCACTCATGTCATTGTATTAGCAACGTTTCATCCTGTTTTCACACATTTTTTTTTATAAATTAAACAGACTTGTATTTCCTTATATTGTGAATGTGTGTCTTTCATATTTGCAGGTCAGTCAATGTGTGGGATATTTTGTATAGATACGCGAGGCATTTTTGAAGGTTGTAACACAGATTTTTCTCCTGCCTTGGATCTGAGGTAGTCTGAGTCAACAAATGCAAATGTGCCAGGCCTCAAAGGTGGTTTGCACAACAAAAGCAGGAGGAGAATCGAGCTGACGACCTGTGAAAATCTCAGCAGGGGTGAATAACACCTTGGGACTTGCACCAGAAAATAAAAAGTCAGTAATTCTAGGTTTTAGGTTCAGGGGATTTACGCAAATTTGCGCAGGTTTAGTAAATCTAGTGTTAACCAGAGATGGGCAGTAACGCGTTACTTGTAAGGCGTTACTGTAATCTGATTACTTTTTTAAAGTAACGAGTAAAGTAAGGGATTACTATCGCAAAAACGGTAATTAGATTACTGTTACTTTCATGTAGGAACGCTGCGTTACTAAAACCATGATTTTTTTGCGAGTATGTCTCATGACAATGACGTAAGCGAGTGCGACGTTCGTGACAACAGCTGTGTGCAGATCAACAACGCAAAATATATCGAGTGCGGGAGAGAGTATGAGCACGCAGCGTTTAAAGCGTGGAAGTACTGACCTTACTTTGAGTTTGATTCCATAAAAAGTGACAAAAACATTAGTGTCCGTTGTGCGTGGGAAGAAAACTTCTTTTTACAGCGAAAAAACCCTAAACAAAGCACCGAGTAGCTACGACGTAATGGGAAATTCACAGAGAAACTCGTGGATTCTTCCACTGACCGCTGCGGCACACCTGCACCAGGGTAAACCTCCGCCTACCCCACTCCTGCTTTACAGATGAAAATAGAGGACTGCTAGTCTTTGATTTTATTTGTTTTCTGCTGTGTTTTACTTGCATCTATTTGAAAGACTGTGTGTAAACACAAAAAATATTTTATTTTATGTGCTGGAATGTGCAGAAAATAGGTTTAAATGTTAAACTAATTTCTTCAAGTCAGAGAATCTTGTATATAATTTAATTTTTACTTGATGCATAAAATTAAAAGATTAAAACTGATAAAACAAGTTAAAAAAAGAGACTTTTCCATTTGATTACATTTTGTATGATGGATTATGCAGAAAAAGTCGAATTGGGCTGAAAAATCTATCGCTTTATTACCTATTCGGGTTGTAAATCGTGTTTTTAAAAAGTAACTAAGTAACTAAGAAACTAAGTTATTAATTACTTTTGAAAATAAGTAATCAGTAAGGTAACGGGATTACTTTTTTGGGGAAGTAATTAGTTACTGATTACTTTTTTCAAGTAACTTGACCAACACTGGTGTTAACAAAGCATTTTCACTCGGAGAACTGCCACTCACTGAATAATTTTCCTTTTTAGACCATTATTTGTAAACCTCAGAGATGGTTGTGTGGGAAAATCACAGGAGATCAGCAGTTTCTGAAGTACTCAGACCAGCCCATCTGGCACCAGCAACAAGACCACATTCAAAGTCACTTACATCACCTTTCTTCCCCATTCTGATGATCACTTTGAACTTCAGCAGGTCATCTTGACTTTGTTTTCCAAGTAACTTCCAAGGAACTGGCTCATTAGAAACAAAGGGGTCAATGAGTGTATCTGTTCACTTGGTTATTTAAGTAAAATGCTTGCACCAGCTGCTTTTATGCGCTTTACCTCTTGTTACTTCAATTTCTGATTCTTTTATCATCTGCCTGTTTTAGTTCTTTCTGCCTTCTTTACTTCTAAGTGATTTTATGTTGAAATTACTGATGTGACACTGGGTCTGTCAGAAATGTATTTCCTCCGAGCAGAAGAGTGTGATCACGCTGCCCTCGTCGAGTGGTGATTTGTGCAGCTCTGCTGCCAGCGAGACAGAGCCTGTGGGTCTACGATGGGGCTGACAGACACAGATTTATCAATTAAAAAAAAATAAACTACTTTTAAGAACTCCATTTATTCTGCTGGAATAATTATGTATCTTCAAAAAAAAGTCTAAATCACCCTTGCTGTTGTGTGCTCATGTAAATCATTCAGACAGTGATATTTAGTTAGGTTTTTTTCTCTCACATCATGCTCAAATACTCCTACTCTGTTAGCATAATTAATCTTAGGCCTGCACCTTATGTAATGACATTGGCATTTTGGTTTAGAGGGATCTCAGTGAGCTCCCAGGTGAGTGTGTGACCACCATATAACAATGCCAGTCTTCTTAAGAACGGTGACTCAGTTTCTCCAAATATGATGAAAAGCTGCGTTCATAATCCTATGAAAGGAGTTCTTCAAGTACAGAGTAATGAACGAGCCCACCTGTGGGCATGTCGTGACGAATGGCACTTTACCTGCTCACATGTGGTAATGTCTATCTAATGACAGAAAATAAGTCAATGGGGGAGGGGTAAAACACTGTTTAGTACTGTAAGGCAGCAAAAAGAGAAAAAGAAAAAAAAAACAGGTTAAAATATGTAACAGCCCTCTGCACCGTTAAAAGGCAACAGCACCGCAAGTGGTTTTCCGCTTTTTAGTAATGCCAACAGTGAGTGCTGTGTTCACAGCATGCTAAGGTTTCTCTTAAGTTCTAGCAGACTGAATGATTTGGTGCGCCTACAACACACATGGTCGCCGCCTGGTTGCATTAATCTTGAAACACTTATATTACATGGCCAAAAGTATGTGGACACTTGAGCCTTCATCTCAAGGATGTTGGATGGGGTTGAGCTCAAGGCCCTGTGCAGGCCAAATTCTTCCACATTAGGCTGAAAAGAAGATTTTGTTATGGGCCTGGTTTTGTATAGATGGGCTTATTAAGGAAGGTAACAAATGTTTTTGTTTACAGGTACAGGTGCATGCTAGTGTGATGAAAACAATAGGAAGTTACTGCAGCACACCTTGTTGATTTGGCATAGATAGGTAAAGTACGGTACTGTGCAAAAACCCTCATTTCTTAATGTTTTCCTTCCACGTAGCCAGACTTTCTTGTATATTTGTTAAAGTTGAACTGAGCAGTAGTATTTAGTTGAAAAGTGTCAAAGACAATATAATTTAACAGGCAAAAAATGTTTGGGCTTTTTTTTTTTTGCACCAACAAGGTGATTCCCAAAGATCTGTAGCTTCATCAGAAATTTTCTCTGTGGATGGATGGCTTCTTGACAGCCATCCATCTACTCAAGAAAAGGGAGAAGAGGCTGCGGTATGCCAAATTACGCAAGATCTGGACTGAAAATCATGTGGCAAAAGGTTTGATAGAGTGATGAGTCATGGTTTGGGGCTGCATTTTCACCAGTAGTGTTGGAGATCCAAATCAAAATGTATGAAATTATGATTGGTCTCCCCAGAGCACGGACATCAACATTACTGTAGCAGAGTAGGATTATATTGACAGAGAACAGAACACAAGGCAGCCAACGTCCAAAGAAGAGCTTTGAATGACCTTTAAGAAGCCTGGAGAACTATTTGTGAAGACTACTACTCGGTACTAAGAGAATAGGCTGTGTTAAAGTGGTCATACTAAATATTGACTCTTTAGAATTATAAAGACTCTGTTTTTGCCTAATATACCAAACTTCCATATACAGTTGCAGAGGTTTGAAGAAATTGTTACACCCTTTTCCCATTTCAGTAGCAAAATATAAGGAATCAATGAATTCAAGACTTGTAATTGTTAAAATACTTGAAATATAGTTGATTGACTTTAAAAAGTAAATTCAGTATGTCACATGTTATATTCTGCAGGAATGCACAGCCGAGTTTCCTTTAGGGTGGGCTATAACATGTGTTAGCTTCCAACAGTTACGGCTGCCTCTGCAAGCTGTTTTACAACCCACCTCCCCTCAAGTGCTCTAGTTCCAACATTTCATGTTATTCAGGTTATTTCTGACTTATTCAGTGCCATCTCTGTTGTCACTGATGCCTGCTCTGTTGTGAGACGATTCTTTTGCTGCTTTTGGGGAGGCGTGAGAACAGAGACACCTACAAAACTAAATTACTGCAGTTTTGTTTTGACTGATGTGGTACAGGCAGAATCTCTGGTTAAATACAGCAGTACACCTTGAAACTTGGGCCTTCTTATCAGTAACAACAGAAATCAAAATGAAGCGGGTATGAAACAGTGGGCAAGAGTTGCCTCCCTGCCAACCAGGTGCATTATTAAAACACCTTGAGAATCATTACTTTAGGTGATGAGCGTTTTCTATATTGTCTCCCAACAGATGAAGTGAACATCCTGCAGGAGCTTTCTTTTCATATCACAAACAGCAGTAATGCCTCCATGACTGTGGGTGAGAGCAAGTGTCCAGTCCTGCAGGTGGGACAGTACTCCACCTTGGCCCTCCCTCTGAGACAGATCTTCATCGATGGGTAAAATGTCTTCTTCGTCTCTCACTTTTTCCTGCTCTATCTTGCTCTTGTTGAAGGTAAAGTTAGGAAAAAAATCATAATGGTCATTTTTCCAGTCCTCCTGTGAGTTTTCTGTTTATTTTTATCATGTGACATTATAATTAGCAACATGTTTCTATCCACTGGTGTTTATAGTACAATTTGTGCCCACACATGCAACTTATTAAAGAGGACTTAGCTGTAATATTTATCCTTTGAGTACCAATTATATGGCTAAGTGATGTGTTTGTGTTTAGGTTTGAAGATGAGTTCAGTTTGCTGGTACAGTTGCAAAGTCCTCAGAGGGAAGAACGAAGTGTCTTCACTATGCTCAGCCCCGACAATCATGTCATGCTGCAGCTGCGGATCAGTGCTCATGCCATCATCTTCATAGGAACGCAGCAGAGACACTATGAGTGAGTCCACTTCTTGATTTTTTTTTCTCCACCCAGATTATTTTGAAAGTGAGTAGGGCTGTACAATATGGGCAATATAAAATCAGATAATTTTCATTAGTGGTTTCTAAATGGCACCATCTGGAATAAATGCACCCATCCATAATGGGCATAGAAATTCAAAATAAAAGAAGAAAAAAAACAACCCAAAAGTGTCTTTTAATTCTTATGGAATGAGCGTCAACAATCATTTGTTGAATTTTATGACTACAAAATTGGTTTCCGCAGTGCAATCACTGATGAAGAAGCCTTTCTGTGCTTGCAGCGGAGGGTCTGCCATTATGGCTCACGTCCTCGGAATTACATCTGAGGTGCTTTGGCACTGCGAGGAGAATAGTGCGCAGACCACTACTGAAAGGTGCAGGTTCATTGCACCCCTGTAATCAATAGCCTTTCTCTGGCCTCCTCTCTAATCAAGGACTGATAGGGCTGCAGTGACTCACCTGCCCTGGATTGCAGTTTGTCGGTGGGAAAGGGGCAGACTGGCAAATAGGAAGGGAACTGAGTTTGTTTGCACTAAAAGATACCAGCACAACAAGCCACTTTTCTCTCTATCTGATCAAGTCCGGCCCTGTCTCTGATTAGATAAATAAATTGGCTCACCTTTTCAGTCCATTTTTTTTGGCAGCCAAATCTCCCTTTTCTGTTTTTTTCTCTCTTCCATGCTCATTGCTCTGTACACACATGCCTGCGTTTCACTCACTAAATAAACTGTTATATAAGTAAAGTTCCTGTCAATCCAAAAACTCTATAGTTGGTGTGATACAGTCATACAGTCTCCTGTTTTGGATGAGTCATGACGAAAGAGAACCGTGCAAGTTTTCCTTTAGTATCACAAACCAAGAGAAAAAAATCAAACTGTAGTCTGATATGTTCAAGCTAATTTGCTGTACTTTGACATTGCACGTCCTGTGATGTGACTGTTATGCACATCGCATCTTCGATGGTGCAATGATTTATTGTGCAGCCCTAAAACTGAGTATAAATTATTTTTGTGTCGAGTCCCGTGAAACCTCTTTGGCAGATAAAAGGAATTATTCAGAAGTGATTAAAAATTGCTCAAAGTCTGCCAGCAAGATACCGCCAAGTGAGTGCAAGGTTTTTTTGTCAGTGATGGGTACCATCACTGACAAACTCCAGATGTTGAGGTATTAGAGAACAGCTCATGCCCGTTCCTGCTTCATAGCAAAATTGTATGCAAATTTGTTGGTTAGACAAAGGAGAACTCTGTGGAGGTATATTTGTCTGCAGCCTGTGTTTCTATTTGAAGATGACTGCTTTTGGCTGTCTCTTTGGAGAAATGATTTATTAGGTAACTCTTGGCAGGTTTCTCCTCTAAAAGAACCACAAAGCTTGAAGCAATACATCAGTGCAAGACAGCATACAGAAATGAGCCAAAAGATAGACATACACAGATACTCTAGTTATCTTGTACTGTTTGCACATGAATGATTGTATTTCAGCTTTTTTAACAGGAAGCTGCATGTCTATCAGGTTTCTACTATTAGAGTTTGGCTAGATCCAGAGATCAAGTTGACCTGTTTGATTCTGTGAATGTTTGAGGTCTTTGGTTAAATCACAGAGCGGACATACAAGTGGTTGGATCTGACTTTCATGAAGTACTAGCTGGAACTAGACTAAGTATACAAGGAGGTGACCTTAAAGGGGAGATCAGCCAAATTTAATTTGGGTATTTTAATTGATTTTTTATGTGCTGTCACAGGACTTACACACATGCCCACACTGAAAGACATGATTAAACCTTCTCAGAGAACAAGAGCTCATTCTGTTTGTTTGTTTGTTTGGCTGAGCCTGATGAAAGAAAGCAGAATGTGTGGAGTCCTTGAGATTTAGACGGCACCCAGATGTCAACACAAAGTTATCCTACTATGATTACAGTGCCCAAAGCATTTTTTGAACTCAACTGCTTTGTCACATTCGTACAGGAACTTTAAGACACAAAGCCAATGATCTGCGTGTCTCTGTCTGTCAGGTTCCCGGTTAGTGGTTTGTCTGATGGAAAGTGGCACCATGTGGCCATCAGTGTGGCTGCCAAGCGGCTCGCACTCTATGTGGACTGCTCTCTGCTGGAGAGAGTGGACTGGGTTTACCACGGCATGGGGATCAGCACCGACGGCCTGCTCATGGTTGGAGGAATTATCGAGAGCTTTGAAACTCCGTTTGAAGTAAGTGGCTCTGCAACTTTTTGACTGATGAAAAAAAGAAGGGGCTCCAGCCCTGACACCTCTGTTTAGTGTACATAGACCCTGACAATATCCGGTATGATTGGTCCTGTTTAGATTTAAAACATTTTATTTATTTGTTTTATTATTTGTTTCTTGTTGCACTTCATATGAATAACAACTTTGCTATGCAACGAACAGATTAAAGCAACTATTTCCAAACAGATGGCCATGTGTGATGTCCAGGTGATTTTCTTTTACTTTGAAAAGTTATGAATTCCTGTTCATCCTTCTAAAAGTAAAGAGCAAAGGAAGGAGCACACATTCCACCCATGTATCTTTTCGTCACAGACCCAAAGATGCTTGGAAACCATGTTTTTGATTTTAAGCAGAGAATCTGTCTGTAGACATGCTTGCATATTGACTTAAGCGTGTACTGTTCATGTTTTGTTTTTGCATTTATTTTAATGTGTTTCATGCATCCAAAACAGACTAAAATGGGTGGATTCAGCATCTGGATGTATGCAATTGATCCAGAAACATGTGGACTTGTTCTTGTGATTAATCAATGGTATTAGTCATTGTCGCTTGATAGATATCCAAACAAATTCTTCAGGAGATCTGTTCATCGTCACACTGTTGTTTTTACGGTGTTAGCTTCTATGATGGTTTCATTGTTTTTTTTATTTCACTTTAGCTTTTGTTTTGCTAAAACGTTCTTCAGCCTTTTCTGCTTTCTTTGTATGTCTGCATCTTCCTGTGTGCTCTCTGATTTTGACCTCTTTCAGTTAACCAGTTAACCATTTTGAAGGTTATTTTTTTCAAGTAGGCTTCTGTGTTTTTAACTTTCCTTAGTTTTGTTTTTTGTGGGTTTTTTTTTTTGTTTTTTTTAGTTAACCTGTGTCTTATTATCCTTCTGCCTGGTGTTCATTTAGGATGTGTGCCTCTGTTCAGTCTTTGATCTTTGGTTTGCTGATGTCTCATTATTTTAAATTGTTTTCTTGATACCTTTTTTGCGTTTTGTTTCTTTTCACCACTAATCTGTGCTTCCTTATTTTCATTCACCTGCTGGGCTTCTCCTAAGAATTGTGTTATCAAATGTGACATTGATAGTTCTTTAAACTTTTATGTGAGCATCTCAAGAGCATTTTGATGGCCCGTAATGCATTGTAGATATTAGTTGCTATAACAAGCTTTGTGGATATAGCTTGAGGATCAGAGCAGGCAGTGACTGCATCACAGTGGGGGTGAGGACGAGTGTTATAGAGGTAGCATCTGGATTTGTTTTTAGCAACAATTAAAATGGATTTTCCATCCATCTATCCCACGGCGACAGATCCCTGAGGTGCTGACAGTCTTATCTCTGGACAATCTTTTGTGTTCGACACAGTGAAACCATATATTAATGAACTCTGCACTTATATGCAACTATTACTGCCATCCAGTGCAGCATGAGTAGAGCTTCTCAGAATAATTTTGTTTGTTCTGGATTAGGTTCTCATTAAAAAATGATTTTAAAGAGAGGCAAAATGTGTGGCATGTTGAAACAGGAATTTCTGGGTGCTTTGCTTTGCTTCGTGCTGTAAATAAACAAAATAATCTGTGATTTGCTAAGTGCTAAAGTGTGTGCTCTTAAAATGGATTTGATTACTTGTACATGATTGCTTTAGATATGCACACGCTGCATACTTTAGGCTACATTGTAAAGATCCAGGAGTGACAGCTGCATTTGGTTTTGAAGAAAAGTCTGTTGTATATTTCAATCACCAATTACATTAATAGAAATATTTGTCCTTCATGAAAATGTACTGCAGATGCATCTGTTTAGCAGACATGTGTTGTTTGATCCCCTGTCTATTTCAAGGTCATCATGGGATTTTTCTAACAGAGGTACTTGAGATTTGGTTCTTCTTCAGAGGACATGAAACATCTCTAAAACTATCTCTTTATATACAGTAACACAGGTCTGGGTTAAATAAAACATAACATTTCTCAGATGGATTTTCCTTAAAGTCCTTACAGACTGTGTGTCTCTTACTTTTCTTCTGTAAGCAGCTGAGATCAAATAGCTTGTTAAAATGCATTTTACTTTTTCCAAAATGGACCTGGAGTTCATTGCTTTCATTTGGATAAACAACGAGAAATTTGCATAAGGAATGTAATTTCTACAAGTATTGTAAACATTCATGTATGGTTTCCCTTACTTTAGGTTCAGTAAGTCTCAAAGTCATGGGCATCTATCTCCTAAACAACGGAACTTATGCCATGCTGCACTCACACAAACACAGAGGCATGCTCTCACCTACCATCACATTCTTATTAACATAGCCTGAGGACAGAGGTTTGCTCATGATTTGTTTTTCTTGCTTGGCCTGACGGAGATTCACTGGAAAAGGACCCTGGGAACTGCAGTGAAATGCATGACCTGCAGTAAACCCTCTGTTTGTGTGCACACGTGTGTGTGTGTGTGTGTGTGTGTGTGTGTGTGTGAGCGCGCGTGTGTGTTCACCTGACGGCTTTTGTCTGTTCATTTGGGTTTCATTATCTTCACATTCAGTATTGGGGTCCTTAACATTACTTGTTACTTTTTTTTAAAAGCAGTGGAATTCATTACTTAATTATACCCTGGAGAAAAAAATAGTTACATTACTCCTTACATTACTTTTGTGTTACTCTGTAAAATGTCATGAAATGCACTGTTATCATCTTTTTAAAATGCTCTGATATTTAAGTGACAACTTCCACTCCTGAGAGTATAAAATGCAGCAGAGATGTAAACCTTTTCACGTTCATCTGACTAAATTTATCACAAAGCAGGTTGTTGCTACATGTTCAGGTGTAGTTATTGAAGTGCTGCTGAATATTTATGCAATACAATATTGTATAATTAAAACTGCAGATGTAAAGTTTCTTTTGACAACATTTTAAAGGAATACATAAATATGGTGGCGTATGTTCTAATGTCTGGCCGTTTGGCAGTAGAAGCTTCTGTATGCTTTGCTGGAATAGCATCAGGGGTGACTGTTGATTTTTAGTGTGCCTCAGGCTCTCTGCATATGTCTTACCTCACCAGTATCACTAATGCTCAGTAGATGGGTGTTGGTGATCTTCTGGGCAGTTTCAGTGCCTTCTGGTATTTAGTCATGGACATCCCATTCCAGTTTGTAATGCTACCAGTTAGGATCCTTAATAATGTTCCTCTGTAGAAGTGAGCTAGAACTTGGCATGGTAATTTTAGGCTTCTCAGATTTCCTTAAAAGCTTTCTTCACCACATGTAACACAGATGAGGAAATGTTTTTTGAAATTAAATATTAATATTAAAATATTTTGATTTTGTTGTTTCAAATATTGCAACTTAATATCACCGCAGTTCGGTTATAGGTAAATTAAGTTAAACTTCTAGTATGTCAGGCTATCCAAACTGATATTTCACGGGGATAACAAGCAGGACATGAAGAGACATTTACTTTTTTGACGTTGTGTTTTCAGACTGCATGTTTGGTTGCTCTTTAATTTCTCTGTGCAGGGTCATCTTCGACAGCTGGCCTTCCTGATGGGAGATCCAGATGCTGCCCAGCAGCACTGTAGCCACCACCCACCCCTCTGCAGTGTCACTGCCTCCAAGCCTCCCCGCTTACCACGCACCAACAACCCGCTGCAGGTGAGGAACGCTGATTTAAAGAAACGGCAAAAGAAATTAAATCAGGAACATTTTCTTTTGGCTTGTATACACAGCAGCCCTCAAACATGTCACTGAGGTATTTAAGGTGAAGCCATCCATGTCTTTTGAAGCCCACAACACAAACACTCAGGCTCCTGCAGTTAATTCACTGACAGCAGGCACTGCTATATAATTTAATATAAGCAATATGAAAGATCACCAGAGGATTTAAAATAAAAACTGCACTGACTCCTGTGGTTTTGATCCAGTCTGGTGAATTTAACAACTCGTGAGTGTTGTTCATCAGTGCAGGCTTGAACAGTCTTTGATTGTGGTTTTTTTATTTAGAAATTGTTGCCTCTGTTTCCACACAGAATATACTGTTGTCCTCAAATGACCTGGAGAACCTGCTGGGGGATCCAAAGGACAAGTCTTTTTTGAGCTTTGACCGAACTGTAAGTAGGATATTGGGTGTCTTAAGTGTTAATTGTTAACCAGAAATTCACTTTTAATTCGCATGTTAGAAACAGTGAAAAAGTGCAGTTACCTGGTTTCACAGCTGTCGCCCAGTGCTGTAGTGACAGACTATGGGCAGCTTATAACCAGTGTATAGATACACCAACCACTGGTCTGGTTTACATGGGTTCTTTTTTTGCCATTAGTGTCTGTGTCTGTGAAACCAACAGTCCGTCAGTCTGCAACAGTCTGTCATTAATTAGCCATGCTGTCCTGAGCCTCAGGCGTCAGACGCCTCATCCAGCAGTCCCACCTTCTGTCTTTGGCTGACTGGTCCACTTCACATGGTTGTGTGTGCTGCATATGTGTGTTTAAGTGCTTGATCTGTGAGACACTGTGTGTGTCTGCTCACCGGCCTTTGTTGTGGCCTGCAAGAGGCCTCATTCCTTCACTGAGGCTAAAAGTCTGCTTTGATAAATTGTAGCAATGGCTCATTTCTTTTGATCTTTACCAAATGCAGTTTGGGATTGGATTAGTGGTTTTATTTTGAATATTTAAAATGAAGTAATAATCAGCACAGCTGATTCCCATACTATGTGTAATCAGCAGCTCATCTGGATTCAAATGAGAGTATTGTTTTCTGAGCATCAGGACTGGACTGAAACTGTCAACTTTTGTTCAGAACAACATTACACATGCCAAGGTGGGTGGAGCCAGGGAGCCCCATCCATCTTCTATGTGCAGAGGTGAAGAAGCTTGACAGAATAGTAGGGGGGTTAGGGGTCACTGATAAGAGGCAGACTAGTCATTTGAAGTGTGAAAAGTGATTTCCCCCTGTTGTTAAAGTAGTCACCTGATTATTTCCAGTAAATTAGCTTTTGGATGATCTGATGGATTTTTGGTATGCTGTAAAGTTTCTCTGCTGTTTATATAAATAATATCTAAACACTATCTCTCATATTGTTCTGTTTCCTTACTGCTTACTGCTCAAACTATAGGCTGTATGTGAAATATTGATATGGCCACCAAGAAATCCCTCGCCGGTTTGTGGATTTGCATTTTATGAAGCTTTGAGGGGTTTTCACTGAGGCAGTCCTGGTGTTTTTAAACCACATCTGACAAGCAAAGTTTGGATCTAATGAAATAACTGAGAAAACCAGACTTTCCCCTGCTAACTACTTGTGACTGACAAGTTAGCCAATGAACATAGCCGTAATGTTTTATTCAACGTATTCCAGAAACTGGGAAGAGTCACCAGGAAAATGCTTAATGATGTCATAAATCAAGGTAGCCAAAGGCTAGCTTTCTCATATAAATGTCTTCTCGTAACTAGAGGAGTCGCCTCCTGCTGGCAGCAGCAAGAAAATACAGATTTAAGACTTTTTACCCATGTTTGCTTCACTTTTCCAACTTGGAAGCTAGGTCTATATTTTATACTTTCTGTATGCTGTTGCCTTAGTTTTCTGAGCCAGAAGTGACCATATTTGGATGAAATAATGAGAAATCATGTAGCAGTGAACATTGTACCACTCGTTTAGTAACCTACATTTACAAAATGTATGGACAGGGATAGATAGCTGCTAATTCGTGCTAAGTAAAAAGTTAAGACGTGTTAAGTGCACAGCAGTCCAAACCTTTCTGTCAAATCATTGCATTAAAAAATACTCCAAAAGGTGAAGCCTAGCTCACAGATAGTTTGCTAGTTGGCACTCATCTATTACTTAAATCAGCCTAGGAAGTGTAAAATTAGCCTGGTCTAGTACCAGGCTGTAGAGTTGTTTATTTCTGCTGAAAAGTTGGGCATTACAACATGTAAATATTGGAGATAAACTTACTTTTAGAATCAGCCTCAAGTGGCCATTTGAGGAACTTCATTTTCCTCGTCTTTGGTGACAATTTTGAGGACAGGCCAGGTAGACTGAATGTTGAATCACTATTGGTGATGAGTGCGAGCACACATGTAATGATAAGTTCACGGCCAGACACAGACATCATATGTTTTTGGCCATGAAGTGATTAAAAGGTAATTAGACGTGAAAATGAACTGTTAACATTAATTGCAATATTGATTGCTTATCAAATAAAACCGCCTTACTCTCTGTGCCAGCCGATTCATTTGTTTTTACTTAAGATCAGTGTTTAAAATCATGTCAGTGATGATGAATGTTTAATCTCATCAGCACATCCCACATCAGCCTTAGGATGCCAAAATGTGCATACACATACTATTGTTCACGCACATGAACCAAACATTTCTTGAAAGGCATATACTGGCACTCGTAGAGTGTTTCTGGAATCACCATATGAGGAAAACAAAGAGGGCTACATATGTTTCGAAACAAAGGAAAAACAAAGCTGGTTTGAATTTACATTTTTGTGTTTACAAAACATACCTTAAATAATCAGTGAGGGTCTGTTTGTCTTTAAAAAATGCAGCAGTGTATAGCCAGAGAAGCTACTGCAACAGACCATGCCGTGCCACGCTAGCCCCGCCAGGCAGAAGCTTCTACATCAGGATGGCATTGGGATTCCTTTTTGATGATGTACATGACCGAGACCTCTCCTGCTGTTTTGTGTTGTCGGGACTTTTTGGGTTTTTTCCAGGAACAAGCTGCTCCAGATCCGTCTTAATAGTCACTGAAATCTTCTTCATATGGCTGCATCACATTTTCTCACGTAATTATCTCTCTGTCTGTTCATCTGTTTCTGTTTTCTGTTTTTTACTGCATCTGATTCCGTCTTTCCGTTTTCCATGTCTCTGTCCTCTTCTATCTGTTTAAGTCTTTGCATCCTTGAGTTTTTGTTTTTCTTTTTGTTTTGCTTTTGGAATTTTTGCATGGCATTGTTGGGCAACTAAATAGCTGTACTTAGCTACAAGTGAAAGTGAGTGATGATTACGGCTTATCATGTAGGTAACAATAAATCCATGAATAAGGATATAATTGTTTTTTCTGCTGTCTGTCTCTCATTACAGCCATGCAAACCATGCTTGCGGTGGTAAAGCTGCCTCTGGCTCTCTTCTGGTCCCTCTTCCCTTCTTTAAAAAAATACATTTCTAAAGAAAGTAAATATAGCAACACATTAACAAGACCTATTTCTCTTTTGTTGAGGTCTGCTGCAGTCGCCTTTGAAACCTAACATTTCTGACTGCTGGGCCTCTTTGTTGGGGTTTCCTGATTTGATGAATGTCCCTTCTGGGCCCCCGTTGACAGGTACTCTCTTTAGAGACATGGCTTTCAACCAGTCAATGTACAGCACCTCAAATGTGCACAAAGATTTTAAATGGCACTGGAGGTCAGGGGCCTTAGCTAAATATGTAATCACAAAGTCAGCGCTAACCTGAGTGTAATCTGACCGCTTTGAACTTATAATTAACTTGTCCCGTATTAGTCAGAGTTACTTTGTTTTGCAAATTCTCTTTGTCATTTACAGCTTCTCAAATTGTGAACACATGTTGTTTTTCACCTATTTTACATACTCACTCAGGTCAGAGTTTTCCTTGTACAAGACATTTAATGTTAAGTCATCGATATGTACTGTGGCACATTTTTAAGGGCTGTTTTATATTGTTGGCAGACTTTTATTGGGATAAAGAAGTAGTCATCAAAATGGGTTCAAGCTGTGCTATTAGTGCATGTACAGATAATAAAATGAGAAAGTTGTGAATCTTTTTCCCTTTCTTTACTTTCTCCCACTTCATCTTTGGGCCAATGGAAACTTCTCAAACTGTTCCTGCTGCTGTGTCACCTGACTCATGAGTCAGCTAGCTCATGAACATGGATAAATATTTCAGTCCAGAAGAACCCAAATGTTGCTGTATTGATGTTAGGATTACACAGAAGTCCCTGAAAATGTTTCAGCATGTGGGGGTTCCCTGCCCGCAAAAAGTTAGAGAACCACACGGTTAGACAACTGATCAATTGTTGGAGTAATCAACATATTAGCTTCCCAACGTTATAGTCTACTAGAAGGCATGTGTTCAGATTTCTTTCCATGTGCAAAATGCATGTTTTTCAGAAAGAGGGGGGGAGGAGGTAGTGCTGGAGAGCATGACAAAGCTTGCATTTGATTGTTTCTCTATGTTGAAGGTTACCAGGCAACTGAAACCAGTTTGTTGAAGGGGTTTTATAGTTACAGCACTGCTTACACACGATTCCTAACAGTGTCAGAGACAGACAGGGAAACACACACACGCCTATAATGTTCCCTGTTCCATGTCTTGTCCCTTCCAAGTGTTTCCGTTAGGGTCTCTAGAGAAGTCCCCTTTCATAAAGCTTGTCAAACAATGGCTTTTAACTGTCCCACTGAGACAAAAGCAAAGAGGTTTGGGAAAAATGATCCATCATTCTGACACTTTTCCATGACTCGCTTAAACTGGCGATAATGACTTGTTTTACGTGAGGTGTCATTTTTGATGTCATGACGTAGCCTTAGCATTGAGGAGTGTGCCTGTTAATGAATTACCCATTTTAGGTTGATAAATGAAAATATATTTTTGATGGAACAGATGTGTTAACATGGATTTACTGTCTTATTTACATATGTAGCAACTTAACTCCCTTTTCCCCTCATTTAACACCTGACCTTTGGCTGAAGACAAATGCTAAGACTGGGTCATCCAGCTGGTCTGAAGAGACTGTAAGATGGTCAGGTTAGCCTGGATTCAACCCTATGAGGACATGAGATACTTCTTCAGTGATTAAGGAGGTTATTGCTATTGTAGTGTGTGTTTGTGCACTTGTATGGACAGAAAGTTTGGAAATTATCATTGATCTCTTCCATCCTAGAGGCCTCTCTAGTGGCTGGTGGGGTGTAAAGATGCTGCCAGTCAGGCTTCTGTCAGAAGGGAAAATACAATACAGTATAACTAAACTGAATTTATATTTTTGGAATTTGAAAGCGATTCTGTTGCTGATTCTGTCATGCAGTTGCATTAACTAACTCACCTCTCTGGAAGTGATTCCTTGCAGAAAATGGTTAAAAAGGTGTTAAAATGCGTAAAATTTCAATTTTCACAGGGTTTTTTTTTTTTTTCATTTCTTGATTGGTAAGGATGTTAATAAGGAGTAAGAGATAGTCCAACATTATTTGATCATGTTTGGAGCAGTGCCTGACTAAATTGGGAGTGCAGTTCACATGTGAAATGTGTATAATTAAAAAGTCTGTATGTTTAACCATGTGTTCAATAGGCTACAGGGCTTAATGGGTTAACAAACAAAGAAAAAATCCTTTTTGCAAACCATTCCTCTCATATCGCATTATTGTGAAAGTCAACATCTTCTCATGCCAGAATACTTCACGTTCCTTTATCATCTTCACCCTAATAAACCGCACATAAAGCGGTTCTAGATATTAGTTGTGTCACATGTCAACTGTGACCTCGCCACAGCCGGTCACCATTTGCACTGGTGGCTGGGGTGCCCTCAACCTATTGCAATCTCCTGCTGAGTGATACATGTTGCCACTTGAGAGTAAAAGAAGCTGAAATAGAAAGGAAATCTTGACAGATGTTACAGTAATTCCTGCACTCATAGGCTTGTTTCTTCGACCTGCCCACGCTGGCTGCGCATCATGTTGCAAAAATCCCAAGAAACATGACAAAGCAAGCTGCGCTACAAAGGGTGGAATCAGTTTTGGCATATGCCACCAATGGTTATCATGAAAACAGCAAAAATAAAACATGTTTTAAGTTACCGGTTAGCATTAGCAAGGTTGCATAGAAAATTGAATATACAAACCAGCGGATGCATCCCGCATGAGGCAGATACCTGTTAATAAGTGCTAAGTAACATGTTAAAAAAATACTAGAAATCTACTCAGCAAAACTTCTTTTTCACAGGCTGTTAGCACAATTAACCACAAAACTAGCTGTGATGTTTGTCAGATAATTACATTAATGAGGATATAATTGGCCCTTAGAGCAGGAGGGTGGTTAGGAGCTCCAGTTTAGTCACTAAAAATAGCAAATGCAAAACTGGCAGTCTGCTAGTCTGCTGTTGCTTTTGGCATATATGTGTCATTTAAAGTAGCCAAGCTCCTAATAATGCATTAATTTAAATCTTCTTTTGAAATGATAGGTAGGCATTTTAACCAAGGAGTTTATGGAATTCACATTTAAGCCAGTTACAAGCAGCCATCTGAGAAACTCCTCGGAGGTTTCAACCAATGCTGTTCACATGGTAGCTTCCCTCTTTTTTTCACCCTTGTGTTAAGTTATCGCTTCATTAGGATTTACTTGGAGCCATATCTTCAAAAGGTCAATAAAATCTGTTTCACAAAACACTTTGAGATCTTTCCAAACTCTCCAAGACTGAGGTCTCTTCAACCAAACTGTTGATACACTGCAGTGCAAATATGTTGGAACAGATAAAAAGTTATTTTCCTCAAGACAACATAATAAAATAAAGATTCATATTAAAACAATCATCTGGTGGGATTGATTTTGGCGCTAAAGCCATGCTTTTCTGTTGTTTTCTGTTGATACATCAAAGGCTCAGTGAAGGGCATGCAATATTTGCTATTTTCAAATATTGCCTAATTAGAGAGCGAGGATGAGAAAGCATGCTTTGTGTATCTGATTAACATTTCTTTGTTTTTATGTCAACTCGATGGCCCTGCATGCTGTCAAGCTTTTCTGTTATGCATGTCAGCATACATCCAGCAATCATTTTTCATCTGCGTAGCAAGGTTTATAACTGTTTCCAATATAAAATAATTACAGACAAGTCAAACTGTGAAGTACAAAAGGAAGCAGAGATGCTTGGATAAAAGTGAGGGAGGAGATGGAAACAGAGGATTGAAGAAATGTTTCCGTAGCCACTTCTTTCCCTGTGTCGCTAAGCAGCACAGAACCGTTTTCTCCACATGAGAAGCCCCGACATGCTTGTACTGATAATTTTCCACTCCGCATCTGTAATTTAGAACAGGGCATCTAGGCTGTGATGATAAATGGTTACATGCTAGGTGATGAAAACTTGTTATACAAGTGCTACATCAGCGCATTAGCTTTCACGAGGGCAGAAATACCTGTGATTCAAGTCCCAGCTGTTAAAGTTCAATAAAAGTTGCGTTTTCAGTGCAGACACAAGAGACCTCTGGAAGCCATTATGTGGTGAGGAAGAAGATTTGCCGGGAAGTAGTTTAAAATTAAAAAGAGATCACTGATTTCCCCCCTAGCCTGCACATCTGCCGCGCAGTTCAAAAGCATCCACAGAGGTTCTGTTCACCCTGAATCAACCTCCCCCTGCTCTTGTTTATTTATATCGCTGTTTGTCCTAGACCACCTCGCCTTTTGGTCCTAATAGACATGAAGTAATGCTTCCGGTGACACTGAGGTGCCCTGCTGTTTTTGACTTTAATGCAGACGGGGTCTCCTCTCTGCATCGACACAATAAATGTAAATCAAGCCAACCTCAGAGAATCCACAATGAATATTTCCCCTCACAAGTTCTCTCAGCTGTGGTTATTTCACTGAATCTGGGAACTGTGGCTTCCCCTCCCCTAATTCCACCACAGGTTTTCTTTTTTTTATTGTGCATGCCTCTAACCATGTGCAAAAGCAGTGGGGATTCCCTCACATCTTCCTTATCCCCGTTTTCCTTCATCGCGCTCTGCTCGGTTGGAACGAGCAGTCACTGCATTCATTCAAGCAGATTTTTAGTTGCCCGTGATGTTGCGGTTTGAGTTTAGTGCCAATAGCTTGCTGCGATCAGAAGTTCACTCACAACCTCAGTCTTGGTTAGTTAAGAGCTGGCAATTTGGATGTTGTGGATTTAATATGTTTAGAACAGCCGTTGCCTGCTCTGACATTGTGTGGGTGAGAGAATAGAACATATTTATTATTCACAAGAGTTCAACATTCAAATTGGACCCACATTGCAGTTGTTACGGTCACTAGTCGTTCTCAACTATTACCCAGGCCACCCTGAGGGTTAATTGGCTGTGCTAGTCTCTTCATGAGCCAGATTAGATGTATTATTATTATTATTATTATTATAACCTGTATGGTTGGGTGGTGAGTGTGTACCCAGTAGGTGTGTGGGTGTGTCTCCTGGGAGCTGGATCAGCCTTCTGCGCAGAGGTCTGCCTTTGTGTACAATTGGAGCTGAGCTCAAGTGCAGACAGACCCGCAGTGTCTCCTGCAGTCATGCCCTACCATGTTGGCTGGTACTTGCTCCTGGGATGCCTATTGCTGGATTTATTGGGGTTGCATGTACAAGGTCAAAGACGACAGGATGGAAAGGTACTCCCTACTACGGCTCATACATGTACTGCTTTTAACCTTTTCTTTGGAGTTTTCTGTTCTGATGCAAAGACTCTGGACAGGAGTGAAGTGCATTCAGTGTGGAGGTGCTTTTAATTTAATCAATTTACTTGGCTGAGGATGCTTTTGGTTCTAATTAATTCAAGGTTGCAACTGATGTGATTTTCAACTTATAAATACCCTAAAGATGCTCATAAAAGCAAGCTTCTAAAACCTTAACTCTTTAATTATTTGTCTTATGCTTAAACACGCTTGAATTCTTTTTTAGTAACACTTAACAGTATAGTGAGATTCTCATTTCTCACATTAATCCAAGCTTGTGAACAGCACGTGGAATACACTTTCCTGTGACCCTTCAGCCTCTTCTCCTGGTCTCGAATCAGGGATTTTTCATATGTAACGGAAACAATTTGCATTGCCGATGAGAACATTTAGTAGAAGAGATACACCCCTTGGTCACTTTCTTGGATTCAGAATATTGCATTAGACAGATGTACCCCTGCATGGTTTATGGTTTGCCTGGCTAACTCTTCTGTGGAGGCTTCAAACTACTTAAAAACAAAGGAAAATTTGAACATCAATGCACCATTTTTTGTGAAAACTATGATTCATGGGAACATTAGTGACAGTCATTGCCCATTTAGAAATGTTCTGTTGGTTATTTTATTATTTTATTATCTTTTTTTATATTGTTGTGGATGTGAGAGTTATTCACAAGGGCTAGTGTCTGTGTCGGCCTCCATGAGAGAGCATTTCTGGTCATCTGGCAAATCCAGCTACCAGTACTTAGTAGGCTGGAGAGCAGTTTTATTGTGCAAGAAAAGTTTAGGTATTATTCCTCTTCTCCATAATGCTTTATGATCTTATTGTACATTCCCAGACCACCACTGTTGAACTGGTGGATGCTTTGATCACAACTAAATGTACCATTTCTAACATGGGTGGTCCCACTGGTTCTAAAATCCCTGAACGTGACACTGTTAATGCCACACACTTGACCTGCTGAGCTGCAGTGAAGTCACACACTGACTTGTGTGCACATGACACACACACACACACACACACACACACACACACACACACACACACACTGTAGTAACTGCCTCGCCTTATGTCTTGTCTGCATACCTGTGTCTTAGCGAGATTTACGGACCTTGCCATTTGATTAGCCTTTGTAGGAGCAAGTCTTCATTGTCTGTGTGTGCGTGCACATGTGTGTTGATAATAGCACTCTAGCCTGCAGCATCTTTGTCAGGCTGTGAGGCCCCCACAGATTTCTTATTACTGTCAGCTCCTTATGCCTCCTGAGACTTGAGCTTTATGTAGATAGCCATTAATTATGCCCTGTGAACACCTGCCATAACTTTTATTTACTGTGTGTAAGAGTGACACATAAGTTAAATTGAGATATATTTTTTAATTAGTGTATGAAAAATGCTCCTGCTTTGTTTTAATGGAACTGATGTCATTCTGGAAGTCATTCCAACAGCATTACCATGCAATGGTATTTTAACTAAGATGATAGTAAGACAATATGATGGATTAGGTTAGATTCAAGTCCCTGCAAGTCTGGCCAGTAGTTGCCTTGAAGGTTGGAAAAGCACCCTGAAAAACAAATGGAGAAGCATAGTTATGCCCTTAATACCTGGATCTATTAGTCAAGTGTTTGTATGAATGCAAATGATGTTGCCTTTAAGACATTTGGCACATTTCCTGTCAGTTAATTGGCTCATCTTTTTAAAACCAGTACTGGCTGAATCCAACATGCTTTTTGCATGGTACTGTCTGTTTGCAGTCTTAATAAAAACTCATATATGTGACAAAAGCTTTGTTCTCTTCAGACCAAGTCTTTTGAAATTTCTTGACATCATTATATGCAAAATTTCTTGCAAACTTGCTGCAGGGAGGAATCATGGCAAAGTGTTGCTAGATGACGTTTCATTGTAACTAATAAGTCAGTCCATGTACCTGTACTTACAATTTTCATTGTGTTTGCAGTGCAAATGTGTGAGTCCAGTCTAAACAGGCATACGCAGATTAAAGAAGATAAACTAGTTTTCTAAAAATTTTCATCTTTATTCAAAATATTTGCTATTATTAGCCCCAAAACAACAAATAATATGGATTATAATAATGAAATAAAATCATGGATTTCCCCAGTCACTTAAAGTCAGCCAAGACTCAGGCTGTGCCGTTGCTGCACCGTTCCTCCAACTCAAGAAGTGTTGTTAGGATTAAAAAGCAAACACACACACACGCATAAACACACACACTTTGAACATGCTTGCTTGCTCGAGCCTGCTTCTACAGAACCTTTAGAGAGATATTGAGTGTGAACATCATCTTGGCTCATGATTTAAAGGCTCATAGAGTTACTTGCTGGGATTATTAGAGTTTTGTTTGACAGGATAACTACACAGACACATGCTTTGCAACGTCTGCTCTGTAGATCATCTTTAAAACTGCTGTTTTAAAGATGACTCATGGAGGCCTTGGTGTGACCTTAGACTGAGAAGAGTTTAAACTTGAATTTCCGTTGTTTTTCACATTTAACACATTTAACACTATCCTGATGATACTCACCAGACCATTACAGAGTGTAGAGAAGACCTGTTGATAAACACAATCCATTAGCTTCATTCTCAGTGTCTAACATTCACACAGGTCCAATACTGATGTGTAGGTTAGAGAAGTACAAGTGTGGGCCCCTGACCCACAGTTACTCAACTTTTTGCTCTGTAAATATGATTAAAAAAACATGGTATAATGTGGTAAGCACCACTGTTAAACCATAAACAGTGTGACTGCAACATACTTCATGATATATTTTGTTACTGTCAAAACATTCCTTAGAATTAGACAAACCGACAGTGTTTCAGTACATTATCACTTTGACTTCGTTATCCTCTTTGTAGCACTCATCTCCAAGTTCAAAGGTTTCCTCTGAATACATAAATCCTTAATAAACTGGTTCTTAGCAAATGCTGCTCAAACAGGACTGAGTAGTACCTCTGTTGAGGATTCTTTGGATGGATAGATATAGTCACAAGGAATTCTGGTTTCAGTTTATTGAGGGCATTCATTTATGCACAGCCCTCTTAAGGTCCCACCACAGTTTTTCAATAAGGATGAGGTTTGGACTTTGCTGGGCCTATTCTGTTTTAGATTTTCGGGTGTGTTTGGGATCATTGTCCTGTCGCATGACTCAGTTTGGACCAAGCTGTAGTTATGAGACAGAACTCACATTTGACCCTATAATACTTTGGTATAGAAAGAAGTTCCCGATTGACTCAGTGACTACAAGCTGTCCCATTCTTTGGTTGCAGAGCATTCCCAATCATCACTCCTCCACCACCGTGCTTGACATTTGGTATGGGTGGTTTGTTTTTGCCAAAAATGATAAGACATCTTGTTTTGTCTCATCATTGTAAAAGGCATTTTTCCAGAAGTCTTGGGATTTATTGAGATGCAACTTTGCAAACCTAAGCTGGGCTCCACTTCCTTGTTAGAAAGACGAAGCTTTGTCTTTGCAACCCTTCCAAAAAAAAGCCCTATTTGTTTAGTCTTTTTCAAAGGGTACTTTCATTAACAATTAACATGCTAACTGAGGCCTGTAGAGTTTTTGTAAGAATTTTTTGCAGTTTCTCCAAGCACTGCACAGCCTGAGTTTGGGGTGAATTTGCTGAGACTGCTGCCTGAGAAGACTGTGGCAATGTCTTAAGAAACACCTGAATGCTCCAGATGAGGAGCAAAACTGCCAAAACGTCTACTTCCACAGAGGCGGTCTCATCGGCTGATAATCAGCTAGTCAAGTGTACTTGAAAACTTTCTTTTAGACAGGATTGCATGTTCATATTTGCTACTCTGGATATTATCTCCAGCAGAAATATTTTGTTGGATTCATAGACTGTATCTAAGATGACGTCACCTGTTTGTTTGTGAAGATCAGTTCTGAAGCCTTGAGCTTCAGCATCTTGGCCGTGTGTGTCCTTTTTTAAGACCAGATATGACTGTACTTGTCAGTGCTGTAAAGCATGCCCTGTTTTATTTTCTATTTTACTCTAAAGGGGAAAATCATTTACAAAATGAATGTCATTTTATATAAAATTAGATTGGAAACTTGCAACTGAGTTAATAAAAACATCAGGAAAGTGTTTACTGAAGTGATAAAGCTAAAAGTTTTCCAGCTAAAAGTTGCTCCTTGGTATTGCTTAGTTTTTATTTTTGAGTTTATTTTGTGTACATGTGTAACAGATTGGAATATATAAAGTACAACATATAACATTCAATATATCCTAAAGGCTTGTACTCATTGACAACTATCAGCACCTGGCTGACTGGCGGATGTATAATGGTATTCCAACTAAGTATGACCTGCGCTGGCTCATAAGGAAGTCTCTCTGACTGAAAGGGAGATAAGTGGAGGAGACGATATTGACCAGAGGAGATCCAGTGTCAGGTTATCAGCTGGGCCTGTTTGACTGAATGTGGCCAGGGATAAGAGAAAAAGAGAAAGAGCTTTTGTTTCCATTCGGGGCACTGGCTTTGGCTCTTGCCTATCTTGGGCCTTTGCTGGCCCGGCTGACTGGCCCCATTGCACAAGGCTAATTGTTGGCCTGTTGTTTCAGATGAATGAAAGCCATGTTTAACTTATTTGACATGTTTCTGGATGTTTGGGCATGTCATTGAGCATGCTGAATTGATTTTTGCCTTGATAAACAACTATAACCAACAAGAAAACAGAGCCTATATTCATATATATTCCTGCAATCTTTCCAGTGCATTTGTATTCCTAATATTTGATGCTCTCATTTTTCTATAGCTCTGTTTATGTCCCATGGAAACTTTTATTTAGTTCTCAGATATCGGTGGAAGGGTTATGAACTGTTGCCTTCTCTGCTCACTGTGCCTTTTCTGCTGAAAAAAGGCACAGGTCCAAACACAAAACCTAGTTTCACTTATGTGCCAAAAGATACTGGAATCATTACTAAAAAAAATTACAATGTGACTTTACTGGTTAAAATGTTTATTTAGCATGATTTGTGACATTGTGCGTGTACCAGGATCAAGACGTCTGCGTATCTCCAGATGACCAGTTCCTATAAACGATTCGGTTACATAGACCTGGCGTAGAAAGCCGTCTATTCTGAGAGATTATTGAATTGTATCTTGTGTTAGACCCTTGCACAATGTGTAAACCCCCGCCTCCTTTTGCTCTTCCTGTCCTTCTGCTTTCCATATGCCTCTCAGCTCCGCTTTTGTGCTCTCCATTTCAGCCCATTACGGTCATCAAACAAAATTTATAGCCCTGTGGTCCCTTTGCCCTGAAAGGCCTCTCTCACTATTCTCCATTCCCTAGGGCCCAGCATTTTGCTCTGTTTTGTTGTGTGTGTGCGTGCCTATGTATAAGTTCACATTTTGACAGCTGGCAAAGCTGATTTACAGTACGAACGATTACAGAATAAAGAGCAGTCGATTAAAGCTCTAAACTGTATAAACTGTTGTGGGGAGGTGTAAAACAGAGTTTGACACAGAGGGAGCCTATGTTGCTCCAGTCTAGAGTCTGTACTGAAGTCTCAGTCTTGTCAAGATTGATGTTAAACCTAAGACGAAGATCCAACTAGAGATAGACGTGCTTTAACCTGAGTATCAGCTGGAGGATAACAGAAGTCACAGTAGGTAAAGCCGTGGAATTTGAGCAGAAATGTTCCTTTTTATAGTTTAGGAGAGGAGATCTTTATTATCATTATTTACAACAGCAATGGTATCCCAACCATGCTGTAAGAAATGTGATGGCTGACCTACAGTAACGGTCAAAGAGCAACGAGAGACTGTGGCACTCAGGAAAGGTTAAGTGCCGAAAAGAGAGGTTCTTAATAGTTTTGGGTTCAATTAGGATCTCAGTGTGAACCGCTGAAATGTTAATTAGAGACAGCGTATTTAACTATTTTGAAAATAAATGCCATTATCAGTTGTGGTGGTGTGCATGTTTATTTGCCAGATGGGTTAAAAGTAACTATTGTAAATAGAAGAGGAACTAACTAACTTGAAGGCAGATAAAATGAAATAATGCCAGATGTCAGTAAAGTGTTTTTTTTTCTGTGGGTAGAGGCCTGTAGTAGGGGGAAAATGTGGGTTTTTGTCATTTGGATTTAAAACCATCCCAACACCAACATTTCTTTATTACATAATAAATTTTTGTTTATTTAAAAAGTGTTTTTTTTTTTTCAGACAGCTTTCAGAAAGAGCTTTTGATTTGACAATGATTATATGGTGTGTTTTGCTTTTGTCCACTTGTCATGACATTGGTTTCTCTCATCAACAGGGTCTCTACTGTCAGTGTACTATTGTTCTCGTTTCTATTGACTGATGGTAATGGTAGTAAGGACATTTCAAACTGCACCAGGCTGATTTTTATCTTAGTATTTTTAAAGCTCATCAGAAATTCCACCACAATAATGCAGAACCAAACAATGAAAGATTCATACAAGTGCTGACATCAAACAGTGCTACAAACCAGAAAACCGCTCCTTTGATGTCTAAAAGATGGAATGTGAGCCCCAATTCTTGTTTTTTTTTCTTGACAGAATGCGTTCCTGCGACGTGAAAGTTCACGAGGCGACGGGACGGTCCCTTCTAGACCCAGTCAGAAAGGTTCAGTAGGTCGTGGGGGTGTCCTTTTGGTGGATGAGGACACTGACTTGTTGGATACGATCTTCCAAAATGGCAGACAAGTGAACCCACGGTTAAAACCTTCCAGAAATGGACCTAAGGGAAGCCAGAAAGGGAAACCTGAACTAGCATCTAAAAATATGGAGGAAAACATTACCACAGAGAAGAAGAAAGATTCTAATGGGAGGACTTCATCACTGTTTCCTGGAAAGCCTTCAGATGATATAATAGACCTGGACATTGGAGGTTCTCCTAAGAAGCCCGCGCTAGGTTTTCCTGCAACTCCTAAGATTCCTTCAGATCCCAGATCTGCCACAGATTCTAGCAAAGAGACCACGACTATTTCACCTTTACCTGATGTCAAGGGGAGCTCCCACACCACGCAGAGTTCCATACAGTTTGATCGTAGACGTGAGCACAAAGGCAGACTACCAGAAAAAGGCCGCCCTGCAACTGTAGCCATTGTGTCTAGAGATGGAAACCTGGTTTTGGGCTCAGATGGCAAAATGTACCGGCTTCAGAGAGGCCCACCTGGCCGAATGGGTCCACCTGGGCTGGAAGTAAGTGGCCTTTTGGTCTTCTCATTGCTCTTTAAAACCTGTTTTAATTCTATTGTATGATCTGTTGTAGTTTGCTCTCTCTCATGTCCATATCTCATTGAGAATTTTTTGCAGAGTTTATTCAACTTATTCATTTTGCTTATCAAAGCAAAGGCCTTCCTGTTTGTTTAAAAGTAAATTGGATGTATAATATCGGTCCATTGTTGGATGAGATGAAAAAAAAAACATCTTTGTGAATGAAAAGAGTGTAACGACTGTTTGCTTTTACAGCTTACAAGCACTGTTCTCCATCAGCTGCCATATGAATCTGATTAGGGGTGGTTACACTCTTCAAACATGCGCTGATCCACATGTCTTTGTTGCTGTGATGGGAGCGCTCGCGCTTAGGGAGTCTCAGCCGTTTGTCATAGCATTACACAATATGACAGGATTACCCTTTGGCTTCCAAGTTATCTGACTGGTCAGGAGGAGGAAAGTCAGGTCATACTGTCTAGTTGGAACACTTACCTGCTTTAAGAAGTGGGTCTTAACTGTGACTGCAGGGTAGACAGAACCAAAAGCAGACATCACATCTGGTTACATCTGGAGTCACGCTGCCATAAAATCCACAGAATAACTCAGCACCATTAATGTGATTAGACCCAGCCGAACATGAGGGAAAATGTCCTGTTGGCTTTTCTGTCCACATACGCGGCACAACAGGTTCTTCTTGATCATCTTGAATCCTGTCTCAAAGTAGAAAAAAGCATGTTTCAGGAAAGTACCTGGCTGCAAAAATTAATTGATAAAGGTATTTAAATGATTATCAAAATGACTCATAAGGCTGTCAAATCAAAAGTCTAATCAACACCTATGTAAACCTCTTATGGTAATTTTTCTTGACTCGCATCAATTGCCCAATAACCACAGACGGTAGCTCTCACTAATGTCAATCTAAAGATGAGTTAACTTATTATATTCAAACTTTTCAAAAGTGATTACACCGTCTTCCCTCCATCAATTTGCATTGCAAGCTTTATGTTATCAAAATTTCTGGACTCACATTTGAGGATTTGTAAGGATTTCAGTGTTGTAAAACTAGGCAGTTTATATAGTGAGTTTCATCCAGATTAATTAACGTGTCAAGGAGGCGTTAGGTAACAGAGATACACAGCGAGCATTATAGTAAGATTCAGGACAGACTTAAACAAACTTTCTGTAAATTAGTGTTCAGACTTAGTCAGAATCCATAACATAGGCAGAGTAATCCTGAAAGATTCATCAAGATTTACCAAATTTTTTAATTTTTCCAGATCCTACAGGAAGCACCAAAGAAGCCACACACAGTTCCTATCAATTTACAACAGCGTTACTGAACAGTATAACCTGATACGCCTATCTTAAAGTGTTTTATTGTTGTAGGTGTAGGGAGGGGGCTCTTGTAAAATGAATACCTTTTGGTCCTCAATGTGCCACAAGCTGTGAGGTTTTACAAGGATCGAGTATTATCAGATCAAGTGTTTTGCTTCTACAAAGTAATAGAAAAGTCTTAAATGTCAGGGATAAACTGTCACGTATCTGTGGCTTGTTAAAGTTGGTGATAAATACGGTTTTGTGTCGTGACAGCTGATTTATCCTCATTGCATTTTGTCTTGTTCATTTATTGAGAGTTAATGTTTCCACAGGGTTGTCCTGGTGAGCCTGGCCTCCCTGGGTTTAAAGGTGATAAGGTAACCGAAGCTTGTTTATAACCTAGTAAGTTATGATGATATGTTAGGTTAAAGCTGCTTCTGAAATAATATCTCAGATGGTATCTAATATTTAAACCTCAGTTTCAATCCAAGACATGTTTTACTTAATCGTCCACAGTGGACTTCTGCTAACTCCCATTAAGGTTATTTATGCCAAAGTTCAGTATTCTTTTAAATAAAACAAGAACTAATATATTATTTACCACATAAATTGATTTATCTTTCATAAACAGGGTAAGACAGGCCCTGAAGGAAGACAAGGAAAAAAGGGGGAGAGGGGACCTGCTGGACCGCCAGGTTTACCAACCCTCTACCTGTGGAGGAACACTGCTGAGGAATGGGCTGCATTCCAGGTAAAATGTTCTGCTATATAATACTTTAGCTTAGCCTGCTTCACCAATATTGCAAAGTGCAGGGCCAGTGGCAGGGTACATCCTGAGCAGATTACCAGGACACCACAGGGCTAACACAGACATCTGCAGACTCTTAGATTCACACTTATAGCAAGTTTAGAATCATAGGTTACTCTGACATGCATGCATTCAGACCATGGGTGCAAACCAGAGTACCTACTGGAAGAAAGTGAAAACTCCACACAGAAAGACCTCCAAGAGGAAACATGTTGTTGGTTTATCAACTGCTTTCCTGGCCTTCCATTAAACATCAAGGCACCAAGTACAGAACACCTCAAAGAAGTTGTTTTTATACGTTCCTCTCTCCTTTGCCCTCATATAATTTATTGTGAGTCACCTAAAAGACACATAGAACTTGAAATGATCTTCGATGTTACTTAAACCCAGATTTCCAGACTATCTGTGAAACCTTTAACCCTTCGGTTGTAGTGCATGCAAGTTGATGATCTTTCCTCATCTGTTTAATCTGTTTCCATTGGACGCAGCTGTGTGTTGTATAAGGCACGTACTTATACACACGCATATAGTATGCAAGCATGATGGAGAGCTTCAAGTCAGTTATTGAAAAAAGATGACATAAATAAAAGTCTGTTAGTGGTTTGTGAAGTCGATTTGTTACCGTGTGTGCTTTGAACTACTATATGTAGACAACCTGCTGTGGTCACTACTTGTTACTTAATGTGTGTTTCCATTTTTCTTGCAGCAAACCAGTTTCTACCAGTTGCTTGCTGCAGGTTGGCCTGTAAGTATGCTGTTCTCTTCTAAAAGCTGTTCTGTGTTTCGTTTGTTTCTGTGAATCTGAGGCGGGTTTCTTCTCTGTGAGCTTGCAGAGTAGAGAAGGCCCCACAGGACCACCTGGAGAAATGGGCAGGCCTGGCAGACAGGTTAGAGATGAGTTTTTTTTTAGCAGTATATTAGTGCATGTTACAAACATGTTCCCATGTGATTTAGTGATTTTCTTTCACAGGGGCCACCTGGTGAACCTGGGGAGCGAGGAAGACCAGGGATGCCAGGAGAGATGGTAAGCAAACAAACCAGCATTTCCTGCTCCAGAAAGTTCAGCAAGTTTGGTATCAATAAAAAAATCTGCTGTAAGGCCACAAATTTAATTTAGTATGCCAAAGTCAACATGTAGAAAATAACTTGAGATAAATGGATGGATGGAATTTCAGCAGTAAATTTACTAAATGCAATGAGCTGACACTTATTAATACATGAAGCCTGTCCTGAAACATCCTCTTTACATGTTTAATCTTATTATTTGGTTTTAGTCATGAATGTGATGAATATCTCTAATTTGTGTCCACTTTGCCATCATTAAATCACAAAAGTTACACACCCAATTTTAGTAAAAGCTGACACATTTGGTGTCGCTGTAAACATTGGGTGGTTCATCAAAGCGAACCAGCCAATGTTGGGGATTGAGCAAGTCCACTGTGGACGATTAAGTGCTAATTTGAATTAAGCGTCACATAGCTGGTTCAGCAGAGTGAGTGCGGTTTAAGGGAGTGGGTGTTTGGAAACCTCATGTGCATGAAACTCCCTATGATGTAACCATTCTCATATTTAGAGAACAAACTTTTTTTTAACTGCAAAATTAAGACATTTCATATTTTCTGTGAGTAAATTTGATTACGCTGAACCATAGTTAATCAAGTTTTCTATTGTGTTATTTCATAAGTTTCACATTATCTCAGTGGGACCTCGTTATTTGTCGCTTATTGCCTGGTTTTATTAAATCTAAAAAAACTCTGACTTGATTTGTTTGGGTGAATGGCTTTTTAAGGTAGAGGTAAATCTTACATCCATCTCAAAAGCCGTCTCAAAATACATAAACATGAGTCCTGGAAGTGGGCTCTGACTGTATGGAAACTGAAAGCCACGGCCATCTATTGTGTGAGGTCTCAACTGGGTAATGAGAAACAGTGTGGTTTGGGATTGTTGGAAACACTCAGTCACCTTCGCTGCCTGAAATGTTTGGACCCATGTGGCAGAGAATATTGATCTACTGTTTGTGTTTGTTTGTGTCTGAGTGACTGTGTAGTCTACGCTGACAAAGCACCTTGCTGTTTGTGCAAAAATAATCATACATCAGCACTGTAAGCAATGCTGGGGTGTGTCAGCATCAATCATGGAAAATTCAAATGTGTTATTGACATAAAAAAAAATCACAAATAAAGGCTCTTTGTAAGCCTGG